TCTTAATTTATAATTTGAATAAGCAATTTGTTGTTACATTTTTTTAAGGGAGAATTTGTTCTTACTTCCCTATTTGAGGGAGTAAATTTAAGGGTTTTGCAGTATATACTACCTCTCTTTATTATTTTTTAGATTTTTTTTTCTTTTTAATCAATTGTGGTCTCCCATGAGCATGAGAGAAAAAAAAAGAAAAAAGAGTTGATCTCAACATCCAAATTGATTTGGATATCCACTCTCATTAATAACTTTTAGAAATTTATGATTGATATTTGAGAAAGAATTAAAGGAAGCATGAAAAGGGAAACCGTTGGAAATCGCAAGCGAAACAAAGCTGTAACGACAGATTAAAACAAACAAAACAACCTGTAAATGAAACCCCAACCAAAATAATAGTCAAAGTAATGGACATCGATGAAGTTGGTCCTTCGGACCAAGTAGCTCTAGTCATGTTTGTAAAATTCATGTTCTTTTTTTCAGGACAATGGTTCGAGCCGACCCCATAACAAAATGTTCAAAAAAAAAAAAAAAACATAGGGAAAGTTAAAGGGGGAAAAAGGTTAATTTACATGGGAAAAAAAAACGTTGGAGACACATTGACTCAGCTGCCTTAAAGACCAAACTACCCCCAAACTAACCAAAGAATTACAAAGAAACTATTAGAGCATCTTCTAATACCTTTTGATGTTAATTAGTAAATCAAATGAGCAAAATAAAGTGAGAGAAGGAAAGAAGGAAGTGTTGAGAGAAAAAGAAAGAGACTAGAACTTAATTTTCTTATTTTTAGATTTTAGCATAAAAATTCATGTAAAAAATGTAATATACTATAAAGTGATTTGAGTAATTATTTTTAAATTTATAATCAATTATTTTTTTAACATAATTAATTATTTGAATATAATTATTTTTTTTATAATAATTGTATTATAGTTTGCCAAAAAAAACTTGACTGAATTGATTTTTAGTAATTAAAAACCTTTAATTTAACATTAAAGTTAGAAATTAAAACCTCTATTATGCGAAGTAATTAACCTCAAATGTATTAAAAACCACCAATTATGATTTTTCTAACATGTAAACATAATTAATGCACCCTTTTCATAACTAATTTTTATTAAAAATGTAAAGCTGACTTTAATTTATTTAATTAACCAATTAAAATTATTTATGTATTAGTGGTGTTAAAATATTAAGAGTCAATATATTTATAATTTTTATATGAATTACATATAAAATAATACATTTGTTATGCTTTTAATATGTATTATTAGAATAATTTTCTTCTCACATTTTTTTATGAATATTTCTATAATGTACCTCATGATAAGGGCAAAACCCCACAAATTTCTTTGTAACTTTTCGAATGTGTAGAATTTTACCTTTTATTTTATAATATATGATTTTATACTCTCTTAATATTCAACTGTGTGAAACTTTACTCCTTGTCTTGCAACTTTAGGAGGGTATAACATCATAAATTTAAATATTATGTAAGTATAAAATCATATATTGTAAGATGAAAAATAAAGTTCTACGCATTCGAAAAGTTGAAAGGTAATTTGTGGGTTTTTGACACATTATAAGAATGTAATAAATATATTTTTTTATAATTAATTTTTGTTAAAAATATAAATGTGGATTTTGATGTAATCAATTAATCAATTAAAATCATCAATATATCAGTGATGTTAAAATATATGTCAATTTTTATAAATTTTAATGTAAATTAATTATAAAAAATATATTTATTATACTTTTAACTTGTACTTTAATATATAAATTAATTAAATCTTTTTTTATTGCGACTCACTCAGCACATGTAGTCAATTATATCTCACGTAAAAAAATTTTAACTTGTCTCATTAAATTAATTGTATATTTATTGTATATTTTTATTATTAACTTATATAAAAATATAAGACCAAATTTTAATTTTATAGCACAATCAAAATATTATATAATATTAATCCTAAAAATAAATTTTATTTTTATATTTTTTATATAAATTAATAATAAAAATATATAATAAAAGACACAATTACTTGGTCTTAAAATACAAACCCACGTTTCAAAGAACCATCCTATATAATCGACGCCAATGGAGCAAATGATCGGAAGCAAAATTCTAGTTACCCAACAACTATGCCAATGAAGCAATGCTCATGAACCGACTTTAACGGCGACAGCACTCATCGTCGCTCTCTGTATTTCCGATGGATTCATCATCTTCAGGAAAATCATCGAATCGCCGGAGTCGCGAGAAATTTCTCCGTGAAGTAATTTCGCCGGCGATCAAGGGGCAAACATGTCCAATATGCTTGATAATCCTCGACGACCGTCGGGCTGCGGTGCTAACGGTTTGCGCCCACGCCTACTGCTTGAACTGCATTCGAAAGTGGAGCGATTTCAAGAGGAAGTGTCCCCTTTGCAACGCAAGCTTCGATTCTTGGTTCTGCAAAATCAGTCTCTCATCTCGGAGGTTCCTCAGGCAGCAACTACCAGCTCTCGTCGGGGATAAATCGGTCGTCGAACGAGATCACTTTACGACAGCAAATCGTCGACGGTAAGACGTCTTTTTGAAAAGTAAAGAGAAAAGTGATAATTTTGCTGATTAAGAACAAAGTAGCTCTTGGATGTTTGATAATGAACAGGATTGTTAACCTTTGCTGGAACTTGAAAGTAAATTGAAAGTTCAAAGTTCAAACAATTCAATTTCTTTTGCTTTCTTACGCTTTCCTGGTAACCAAACGGGTAGCAAAGTTGGAGCTTTAAGATAAACTCACTTCCCTGTTTTTGATTTGATTAAATTAATTAGGCCTTGAAGAAGAAAGAAAATTAGCTTTGCTTAGTGAACCTCAATATCATCTTGAATTTAGTTGATGAAATCAAATATATGGTAGACTTTTATTTCTCTTACTTTGCAACCAATTGGAGGTTATGGAGTGATTGGCTGTGGTTTTGGTAGCTTCTTGTTGAATATGATCTCAGCTAGTCTGTGTTCCTGTTTGTGTAGGATTATTCAAAGAACAAGGGAAGAGTTGACCAGTGTTAGCCGGAGAACAAGGCCTCTGCCTTGGCAGCGATCATTTGGAAGGCCTGGATCTGTACCTTCTCATGTTATCGCTGAAAGAAAGCTTCAATGGCGAGCCAGGTAACATGGATATGAAATGTAAATAAGTAAATATAAGTATATCAGTGCTTTACTATGATCTGCCAATGATTCTTAGTTATCAAATGATTTTTTGAATTGGAAGTAGTCATTTTTGGACAAATCACCCCATAGGAAGATTGCTCTCAGATTTCTAGCATTTTCTTTAAGTTTGGTTTAGGTGTATGTTGATATATTTTGGAATGCAATAGTTAGCAGATCAGCAGGGTAGGGTAGTATTTGATCAAATGTGTGAAGATTTACTATTGGATTTTAGAAGTTACTTAAGCTTCAGGGTAGTTGCCATTGGTTCTAGTTGCAATTTGGTTTTCAAGTGTTTTTGCCTCTGAGGGTCTGGTAATTGAGTTAAACCTTTTTTTGGACCATCTGATAGTCAAGCTAGAGTTTGCTAATTTGAATTAGAAAAGAAAAGATGGCCAAAAGATGACATAGGATTATTGTTTCGGTGCAGTGTATATCACCAGCGGCTGCAAGCTGTACCTTCACCTGCTTGGAGTTCTTCTCAGCAGGTATGTTTTTTTTGGATTTAAATCTCTGGAAAAATGAGTACTATGGACTGGATCAGTTCAGTAAACCTGATCTTTTTATCTTCTTTTTTTTCTTTTTTCTTTTTTTTGAACTTTCAGAATGCATCACAGAATAATTATACAAAAGAGAAAACAGTGCAGAAAGTAGAGCCATGGATCCTTAGGGAACTTGAGGCAATTCTTGGGGACCCCAATCCATCCATTATTGTTCACGTGGCCACCTCACTTTTTGTTGCCAGCCTTGAAGGAAAATATAACATTGCGTCAGCAGAAGTAGGCAGTGGAGATGACTTCCTGGCCCCTTTGAGACCTTTCTTGCAGAATTGGACTGAAATGTTCTGGCATGAACTAAGGTGTGTAATTACCTCAAGGGATCTTGAACTAAACAAAGGGTACTCTAGTCTGTTATCATCCTGTTCCATACAATCAGTACATGTTGCATCAAATTTCCAAGTCATGTATAACATATTGAAATTATATCCTTCCAAATCCTGATCATGCTTTTTGAAGTCTTGTCTTTATGTTTGGGCTTTAGAAGGGGCGCTAATGACACCTCTGGGTCTTGAGAGGAGATGAAGATGGTGATGAATGAATTTATCCTCTCTCTGACACATTAACTATACCATTAATAATATGGTTTAGGCCATTATCTGCTTTAGGCTAATGCATAAGATGCACAAGTATCCTAAATTAGCAGTTTGTAGCCTAGTGATCAGAAACAATGCTGGAGAAGGGTGTGTGAATGTGTGTTTAAAGCTAGTCATGAAATAGATGCTTTAGCTTTTCATATCACTTTCATCGTTATTTGTTGCTTGGCATGACTAACGGCTATTATTTAATAAGAAAATACTCTTCAGATGTTTTGCAGAGAGTCAATTCAACATGGAGACATATGATGTGGTCATTAGATATGAAAGGCTTGCTTAGATGTTACAGGGAAGATTCTCATCATCGCTCCTGTGAGAGATGCCTCATTGTAGGAATGACCACTGAATGTTCCTTATTAAGCAAAGCCATGCCCATGAGTGGATTCTTCATACAAGCCAAGAATCATTCTGGAATACAAACTGAGCTCTCCTCTCTCACTGTGCTATAATGACAAAGTGGTGCCAGAAAGTTTGAGGAAAAGGTGCAGCTTCCTTTTTGCGAGTTTGGAAGGGATGGTCAGCCGGAGAGTAGGTTGTTTTCGGCACAGTGCGTTACAAATTTGATCAACTTACTTGGAACTCGAGGTTCCTCAGTTTTTTCTTGGTTTCATCATCAATGGCATATACGTTTGTTTTTTTGTTTTGTTCTTTTTTTTATTTTTTCAGTACATCTGAGCGCAGGTAACTTGACGGTGTGGAGATGACCTCAATTTCAAATCAAGTTAGTGAGCAACTCAACTAGACTCTTATTGATGGCACATACTTTCTGCGGGTAAAAGCCAAGATCTAGGCCAATGTGGTGAGATCTGCCAAGTACTCACGTCACAAGCACCATTGCACTGTTTTTCTCTCTATGACTCTCTATCCTTGATGTAAAGTGATACTTTTACCAATTAATAACTATACAAGCAATTCCATTTTTGAAGGTTACATTCTTCTTAATTATTTACGTAGGAATTTCAGTAATAAACTTGAAGTGGGTGACCAAAAAGAAGAAATAAACTTGATATGCACTCATTCTGTTTTTATTACAGAGCAATTTACCAATCAATGACAGAAGTGTTTTCTTCAAAACAGTTCTGTCAGTTTCTTCTACCATTGAATACAATTAATCAAACACAAAACATATATTAAAATTAGCAGCAATGTAGCATGATACATCTCATAACAATCCAACCTGAGCTTGAAGACTAGTTCTCTGTTAGTATAGATGGTGGCAATATAACAGACGTGGTTGCTATTCCTCTTCAGGTTCTTCTTCTTGGAGAAGATTTTCCCTATTGTCGTGTGCCCAAAATCCACGGACATCTATAAGCATGCTGGCTACCGTCCCACCTTGTTTACAGGCTAGCAGATCAGCCAATGTAATCCTTAGTGGGTCAGCTGGCTTGACCATATCCCAGATTTCATCTCTCACATCTTCAATACATAGTTCATAGTTTCCACCTTCAATCCATTTCTGGTGTACGTCTCTGTTTCAAAAGTGAAAAGAGAAATCCATTTAGAAGATAAAATTTTATTTTCAGTGAAACTGCAGAAGAAAATTAGTCATGGTCTAATGACTAATGCTGCAAGCGATGACAACAAGCTTTGAGGTCAATCTATGGATTAATGTCCCTGGAGATTCGAGACTTGCAGAAAGTTGCTCAAGTACTACAAGCAGGAAACTACAGAGTTTTTTTTATAGGAAGATTGTATCAGGTAACATCACAGCTCTTGGATGCTCCCCTTCTTTACTTCCATGTGTGACCTAAGCTTTATTCGTTTGCTCAGGAGAGTAAGTAAAATAATCAAGCTCCCGCAATAAATTGAAGCAAAAAAATGGAAAAACATTAAAATAGAAATTGAAAATGCATGATAGAAAAGGGACTTCCACCTGAAAAGGGAATGAATATCAGCAGTAGTGAGGTATCCCCGACCGTGAAGATCAAGACAACGAAATAAATATGTTAACCCTTCAGGTGTGTCTTTGTTTTCAAGGGCCAAAACAAAGTCTAGAAAACTTTCAAAGTCCATCTCTCGAGCATTTGGTCCTCCACTTTTGCCACGCCGGACATGCTCATCAAATACTATTAAAAGCACAAAAAATGCAAAAAATGAGGACTGGTTGAAAAGACACAGAACACACATTCATCATGACAACCAAAAAACAATGAATTCCTACACACTACAAGATAAATAGACAACATCATCAACTAGTACCTCTTTCAATGAAAATTTCAGTGAGTGTCCCGTCTGCATATTCTTTAAGCTCCTGCTTGCTTAATGTTCCACTTGCATCTTTATCAAGGGCAAGAAACATATCTGCAGAGAAAGTAGCAGCACTTACCTAAGTAATAATACTCTAGTTATGTGGCCTTCACAGAGAGTATATATTACATATCCACATGAATGTAGTCTCTCAAAAACTGCTTCAATTATTGACACTGACACAGTTGACACTATCACATCAATATAGCTTTTCTGTTATCTCCATCCTATAAAAGAAAGCTTCTTTGAAACAGAAAGAGAACACCTTTCTATTGTAATATTCAAATCGACAATAATATAACTTAAAATTTTCAGAACAGGTTCAAAAGGAAAAGAAGAGGCTTTATTTCTAGGAAAGGAAAGTCAAGTTCATCTACATTGCAGTTTTTGACCTATCATTGTACTTGCTCAGCTGCATGATAAAAAAACTATTCACTTAAAACAGATGAATAGAATAGTAGTCTGAAAAGAAAATAGGAGACAAGAAGGCACTCACCACATATACGCTGTGCAGATGTCAAAGAAAACCAATTTTCAGCTTGTTCAGTATCAGTCACTTCTTCATCACTTTCCTGAGGCAAAAGTTTAAAAATGGCAAAAAATAAGCAACTAAGATTTCTTATTCACCTAAACAACTGAAACTTGACAAATGATTTGAAAATTCTTTTCATTAGATAAATAAAGTGTAAAATCAATAAACTGCCTAAAAGCATAGAAATAAAATCTTCGTGAGTCCTAATGGATGAGGATCATCCAGATAACCAAGTTCCTACAACTTTTGCATTGACATTTTAGGACCTCCACTTGAAAAGAGAGGAAAAAAAAAAGGAAAAAAAAAGGGTTCCATCCTTCTACTTTAATATCAAGGGAAGCAAGTCCTGAGCAGCTATTGAATTATAAATGATACATTTATCAAAAGAAAATCCCCCAACAACCTACCTGGTGCAGTTCCATTAGCTCCTGGAGACAGTTGCTCAGAAGCACCTGCTTTATGCATGCTTTTCCTGCAATCAATATAAGTGTCAAATATTTTAAACAACCAAAAAGCATAAATAATATAGACCCACAGAATTAATAAATAACAATCACCTTGAAAATAAGCATCTTAGTGGTCAAATAGAGTAAAAACAAATTACCCACAACACCAAGAATATTTTCTATTATTTGACAGTTTACAATGTATGGGAAAAGATAACAAATAAAGATATTAATATTATCATGAGCAGAAAAGCAAAGAAATATTCCCAGAAGTAAATAATAATATTGGCTTTAAAAGAAAACCAATAGGAACAGTGAAAACAAACAATACTTGGTTCGTAACCAAAACATAAACCAAACAGACCTCGCCTATTAGGATCACAAAAGAAGAAGAACTTGTGTGCAGCTATGCGACAGTACATCTGAACAAAGGCTGCCGGCATGTCCCGTAGTTGGGCCAGATTAGGAATAAGACCTCGAATGTAGGCCTCCATTTCCTGAAAATAAGGAAGTAATGGCAGTTTGTTAGTGCAATAAGCGAAAAACAATTTAAGCTGACATTATGAAGAATTAAAAAGAGATTAATAATTATTTAAAAGTTTTAAGCAATAGGATGCAGACTACATACATGAGGTTGGAGGAAACCATCTGAATCCTCATCAAGCTCACTCATATCAATTCTGGCCTGCGTAAGTGAAACCTGAAGAACACAATGAACTGTGAGCAGCAACTAAGGAGTTGCATCATTGATCAATAAAATAAGGAGGGGAAAGAGATGATATCCAGATTTCAGTGGGTCTTAATAAGGAGAAATTCATTAAAAAAAAAAATTGATGAACAATTTTCTTTATGTAAATATTTTATTCTGTATTAATTTCGTAGGTGCTAAAATAGCCACCGTTCTAAGGTAATCAATTGTAGGATATGTAAATAATAATGAAGGAATTACATACAAGCCTTCACAAATCACAAACAACATAAGTACATGTGTATGAATGAATTACTTACCGTCCGCATAACATATAGATAAAAGGGCAAAATGGCAATCCTTCCTGACTCATCCTTCTCAAACTTCATGAAGTTCGAAGGGCTGAAGAAGCGTCGACATTTAGGGCCAATCTGTTCTGTACATACAGATGCAATATGGCAAAAATCTTCATAGTTCATCTGCAAGATGACAAATAACAGCATGTTTCATGCGATGAAGGACGATAGTAACATGACATCTAAAAAAGAACAATACAATGAAAAATTCATCAACCAAGAGTAATTCAAAGGTTCTTTATTTGGTTCTGAAGAAAAAGAGAAGCTCAATCCACAACTTGCTATAACAAGTAAAAAAACCAAGTCAAGAGAGAGTTTAAAATGGCTTAGCCTAAGACCTTTTCCGCACCAGTGACATCATCAATCACACAATTTTCTCTTAAACAAACCCACATTGCATCCAGATCGTCAGCATTTAGCAAAAGATCAGATTGCTTCTGCAAAAATGTGAGTGACAATTAAAGCAGATTATGTAAACTCTGGAAACCGTAATCACAAGAATTAGTACTTATACCTTAAGAAATCGATATTTTGCCAGCCTCTGGACCCTGTGACTGATGGATCCTTCTTCAGGTTTCTGAAAAGAAGAGAAAATACAAACAATAGAGTTAAGATACACTTTTTCATCACTGCTTGCTTAATGCATAATCTGTTAAGATAACTTTTTCAACTGTAATATCAATCAGAAAACAAATGCACCAAAATAAGGCAGTTGAACAACTCCTTTACATGTAGTTCTTCCAACACCCATTAATAGATAATCTTCTAAAGCGCCCACATAAAAAATGTTAGAACATGCCTTTTTGTAGAAACTTGGTATTGTCCCAGCTTCAGCACTTTTCTGTTGCTTCTCTTTAAAAATATCAAGCAAAATTCTCTTTGTCTCAAGCTCTACAAGGGAGGGGGAAAAAAAAGGTCCAACAAGTCAGAGTTTTACTAAAGAGTGAAAAAATGCATTTCAATTTTATTCTGTCAGCAATGCAGCCGAGAAAACATATTCTTCAGAAAAATTCTACGCACTACTGCATATGATGCATTCATAAGAAATTGAAGCAGAAGTAAATTAAGGTTTTTTTTTTACCAGAAAGACGTAATCATGTAAACACTACAACTGTCTTATTTTGGCAATGAACAAAGCTATGACATTATAAGGGCAGATAAAAAAAAAGGGCACGTGAGGGCCATTGCAAGCACATATTTACACTTCACCCTGACTAAAGACATGACAGTCGAACTGAAGGAGAAATGGAAAACAGCTCCAAACCCACTAAGTCAATTCATAAATCCACTCATGCAAACTGCATGAACTTGCTTTTTTCCCCCTACCCTACAAGAACTAGCTTTAGACAGGAAAAAAAAGGGGAAAAAAATCGCACTCGACAGTCCCGCATTCGAATTGACTTCCCAAATCCATTCACATTGCACACGGCTGAGGACATTCCTAAACCAGACACACATTTCCAATTTTTGACTAACAAAAAAGAATGAAGATAGAATCAATTGAATTTCCAAGGAAATGGTGTATGGATAAAAACGGACCCATCAGGGCTTCCGATCCAAGGCCAGCACCGGAACCAATGTACCGCCGGAGATTTCTGACCCAAAGCATTGACGAAGCCGGTGGGATCCTCCTCTGAGTGGCAGCCTCATGGCTCTCGCCATCACTGGATCCACTATACATGGCCAAGTCAGACTGATCTGATAACTCGAGGGGACTTGTACAAGTTCGATCTTCAGTGTAAAGTTCAAATCTTTGAATTGAAACCCCCAAATCAACACCAAAACCCTAGCTCTCGAAATTTTCTAATACGACCAAGAGAGTTCGCCGAGGAGACGTATTTTTCATTTTCCATTTTTTTCACTCTGAATTTTAAATGAAAGTCTGGAGAAATTGCAAAAGAGCCTCTTAATTTTTAGAATTTTTAAAAATTCCCCCTGGGTTTTGCTATCGGGCTTTGGGAAAAGGGGTAAGGGATGTTTGGTTTCTCTTCCTTTTTATTTATTTATTTATTATTATTTAAGTTTCATAATAAAAATATTTGTTTTATTTATTAATTCATTCTATTGGTATATTATTTACCTTAAATTTAAAATTTTTTAATTTTCATTTAAAAAAATACCATTAAATTACTTAAATAATAAATAATCTTAAATGATAAATAGTCTCTTTCCTTCTTCATCTAGTACAATTAGCAAATCAAAATCACTAATGATTATCTCTTACTTCAAATCAACCACTTAAGTACAAAAGACAACATAGCCAACTAGAGATGTCTTAACTCCTAAGTAAATAAACGTAAGCAAGACTAGATAGGAAAGTTATTATTTTATGTAACTTAAAATTTTCTAGTAATTTTGATTGCCATTTCAACTTAAAATGAATTAAATCGCACAAAAACTACCAAGGAAAGATATCAAGTATCGAATCCAATTCTCTAAAAATAACCAAGATTATTATAATGTA